TTATAATACAAATTACAGTATAGTGGTTTCGTTTGATGGGTGGTCATCAATTATCTTTTTCTTACTATGAATTATTATTTGCCTTTATTTAAAAAATTAGAGATAATTGGGTGAGAGACAACTGATCCAGTTGAAATTAAATTTTTGGTATTATGTTTTCAAAGCCCAAGACAACGATAATTTTAGTCCATTTTTTTGCCAACTTTAACCCCACGCGCTAGAGAAAATCTGTCCAAACAATAAACCCTATCTATTGCATTTGACGCTTGGGTTAACTTTATCTCTCTTCTTCTACATCTCTGTAAACGCTAAGTTTCATCTTCTTCCCATCTAGATTTCTTCTGTTCGTATCTGATTCGGAGAAATAGATAAACACCGCCGTTGCGTCTAGTGTTCCGCTGAGATTTCCTGTCCATTTTAGTAAACCGGTGGAAGATAAGACCGCATATGCTTGTTAATATCTTGAACCATTTTTAAATCTTAATTTTTTTGAATCAATTTCGGTTGTCCATGCGTTATAATCTATCATTGTCTCGTCTTTTCACTCAATCTTCATCTTTTGATTTCTGAAGCTTTTTTTCTAAATTTTCTGATACTCCTTTTCCGATCCACTTGTATCTCTACTTGTTTTTGTTAGATTCATTTTTAGACATCCACTATTTCTCGTAGATTTCCACTTATTAAGATACGATGATTGTAATATACATATTGTAGCATGCATACACGTATATAAAAGTTAATAACGCTCTATATTTATGTTTACATATATACAAAATAAAGCTCTATATACGTGTTTACATGTATACAAAATTTAATAACGTTCCATATACATGTTTACATGTATACAAATGTTAATAAAGCTCTATATAAATGTATTTATATGTACACATAAACCAAATTATTAAACATTTTAATTATTTCTAACGCTTTATGTATGTGTTTATATATATATATACAAATGTCAAAATCGTGTAAAATATTCATTGGGTTTTCATGCAACTATGTTAGTTGTTTAAAAATTCGAAGAACTAGTTATTGGCTGTCCAAACAACTATGTTAGTTGTTTACATTTTTCGATTCTCGTCTAAAACTACTTTTGTTACAAATTCAAATTTGATAAAGTTCAAATAAAGTCATTTGTATTTAATAAACCACCACCTCATTCTTTTTGTTAACTGGTGAATATTTATCAATTATGTCAGTTCAACTGGGAGCATTTATTAAACGTTAGGTTGTTCTTTCATATGCTTTAAAAGGCATAAACTTCTCCACCATGCGCATACTTTAAAATCAAGCCTGGTTTTTTTGTTATTAAGTCAAACTTCATATCCAGTTATCTTTTTTATTTTCTTCTTGTTCCTGACAAAATCCACTAATATCGATTACCTAATTTCATATCCTGTTTTTGTCTCTGCACAAATTCACTCAAAAAATTATGTGCGTTTTTCCATCATTTATTTTTAATGTTTGGTCGGCTTTATGTATAGCGTCATGCATGATGTAAACAACTGTAACGTCATGCATCATGTAAATAACTGTAACGTTATGTATGATGTAAATGAAGCAAAAAATGATAGATTTGAGTAAAAAAACATATTATTTTAACTAATTAAATATACATATCCACCTAACTTTTTAATTTTATCTTTAGTAACCAAAAATTATAAGAATGTGATTAGTAATAAACTAGAATAATATAGAGTAAATAAAAATAAGGAATTAGAATCATATAAATAATATAATGTTAGTTTGTGTTACTCTATAAAAGAATATAAGGAAAGTTTTGGCTAACAAGACAAAAAAATTTATCATCCTCATAGGTTAGAGTAAAGAGTAGTCTAGCCTAAAATATTTTTCTTCTATAATATGAACTCTAACATGCATATAATATCATCCTCATCATTTTTTTCACTTTTTCTCATCTAAAATTATTACTTTTTTTTTTTTTTTCTCAACATCGTGTGCATCTCTCTTTAAGATGTTTTAATGTTTAGTTGACTTTGCATATAGCGTTATTATGAAACGGTTGTAGCATTATGCCATTATGCATGGTGTAAGCGACTAATAGACTAGATGAGTAGATGATAGGTTTTGGTATCGAACATGTCACTTTAACTAATTACATAAAACTAGGGGTGGGCATTTCGGTTTAACTTCGGGTTCGGTTTGGGTTCGGTTCGGTTCGGTTTATTTGGGTTTCGTAAAACTCTAACCAAACTCAACCGAAGTTAGTTTGGTTCGGTTTGTGTTTGGGTCAGTTTATGTTTGGTTCGGTTTGGTTCGGTTCGGTTTTACTTGGGTTCGGTTTGAGTTTGGTTCAAAAAATCAATTAATGTAACAAAACAAAAAATTTCATTGTCTTTGAAGTTTGAACATTGAAATTGATAAAGTAATTAAATATCAAGTTCAAGTTGTAAGTTTAAATAGAATAATTCAAATTAACCATGAAAAGAAAAACCTAAAAAAACCCAACCATGGTAATTAGAAGAAAAGGAAAATGAAATCCAACAACGTAACATACCAATCTTCCATGATTCCTTCACGCAATGTCATCAAGAATGAAATATGAAAGTCTTTTTGAGTTTTACTCTTTATAAGTTAGAAAGAGAACCCTAAGTTTTCTAGAGTTAGAGTTTTAGAAATAATTAAATATATTTTACATTTATTCAAATTATTATAAAAGTAAAAATAAACACATATTTAGTTATTTATAATATTATTAAGAGAAATTGTTAAAAATGCCCCTTTTTCAATACCCCTTTTCAAAAATGCCCCCTTTGAGAGTCCATTTTTAAGTTTGCCCTCTTTTAATTTTTAATGACTATTTTACCCTTATTTGAAACAAAATTAGGTCCACAAAATACAAAATATTTTTTGGCGGGAAAAGTGATCCCGCAATTTTCCCGCCAAAACACTTGTAAAAACCTTTAAAAAACCTTGTAAAATTTTCCCGTAAAAATTTTTCCCGCCAAAAAATTTTCCCGCCAAAAAAAATTTTTTGCGGGAAAAGTGATTCCGCAATTTTTTTTGCGAAATTTTTTTGGCGGGAAAATTTTTGGCGGGAAAAATTTACAAGGTATTTTAAAGTGTTTTTTATAAGGTATTTACAAGTG